ACATTTGCAACTGCAACAATTTTCTGAGAGAAGGACTGCATTTTCTGACAGAATTGTAAGGGTGCCAATATTTTTGGCCATGACTGTACATAATGACCATATGTGGTTTGGGTTCAAGGGAATTACAGATCCATATGGACTGACCTGGATAGATTTCAAAGATGACAAATTAAAGGAACATGCCTCTGCTGAATCCAAATCTGAACATCCCAGAATATTGTTTATTGACTTTGAAAATAAGAAACACAAAGATATGGACAGCGTGGCACTAAAACTGAATACACTTTCCCCCAAGCATTCCATAATGGAAGGAGAAGGAGAGGAAGAGGAGGGATGTTCTGTGACTGACAGATTTAAGTCTTGATCAGGTGGGCATTTGTTCCATTCTTTGATCTGCTTTTGGGGACAGTTTGGTTCTCTCTCTTTTTTCAACGATTACATCCGTGATCCCCAACCTTTTCTGAACAGTCAGCCATTTGGGGGTGTGGGGTCCATGTATGGGGGCATGGCACCCCATGCTCACAGGGGGGCAGGGCATGGTCACAGATGCGAGGGGTGGGCAGGGTGCGCTCACTCGCATAGATGGGGCAGGCTCACAGATGGGCAGGGTGCGCTTGCATGCATGTGTGGATGGGTGGGGCATGCATACATGCAGGTGGGGTGAGGGGTGACAGGAGATCTGTCTCTGTGACCCAGTACTGCCAAGGCCACAGACCAGCACCAGGCCACAGACTGGAGGTTGGGGACCCCGGATTACATGACATAATCACTGGGAGCAAACCAAACTGTCCACAGAGCTATCCTACTGCACCTTTTTGAGCTCCTGTCAGAGTCTTCTACTTTTTTGGTCCAGGTGGATTACTGTTTCTGGTGTATCTGATCCCTGGGAACAGACCAAAATTGAACCTTCATAGCTGTTAATAAGCAAGCCTCTTCAGGATATGTGCAAATTGAGCATTTCCTCTACTCCTCAAGAGAGGGGCAGGGGAAGTGAAAAAATTGTTAAAACTCAGGTAGACTATTGCTGAGGTGCTGCAACATTTAAGAAGGAGAAAGAGCAATACTGTATTTTCTTTAGTTTCTCCTAAAGGACTGGTAAGATTCAGCTGTGGGCAGTTTCTCACCTGGCCCTTTAGATAAACCAAAGAAAATATATTTTCACTTCTTTAAAGTGATGCTGCACCTCAGTAATAGTCTACCACAGTCTTTTAAAAAATTCAGTTCCTCTGCCCTTCCACTGAGAGGAAGAGAATGTGTTCAGTTTGAGGATATCCTAAAGTGGCTCACTTCATGATATTGGGAAGAGCTTGACCAAATAGTGTCGATGGAGTTCCTACATGCCATTTGGATGTGAGGATTGCATCAAATGGAACCTCTACCCAACCTAAGCAATTCTATTTATATTGCACCAGCCTGCTGCAAAAGAGCCCCTAGCTTCAAATAAAAATGAGTTGTTTTCCTGGGGCTGTACAATCCCAATGCTCTGGGAAGAGATTCTTGCTAATTCTCTATTCCAGGAGCATCCAAGTCCATTCTCCCGATCTACCCTTGCACTTTTAACAACTTAGGAGCACTGATCAGCAAACAAAAACCTCTTAAAACTGTTTTCATAGTCCCCTAGTCTCCTCAAATTCTGAAAGGGGCCATAGAGATAGAAATGTGAGGGATGTTTTGTTTCATTGCTGTGTTGGTTTCAACTAAAAATGCCTCACTCCTCCAACAATGTCCTTGTTTTCTTAGACTGCTCAAGAAATTAAATTAAAAATTATTGTTTTGTTCACGTTAAGAGGAACTTAAGTACTGGAAGACAGAAAAATATATTAAAGCACAGTTTATAGACTACATGTAAATTGATGTAATCTCTTCTAACATACGTGATCCTGTTCAGAAACAGTTTGGTTGGATATCAGGTTTTGTCAACTACTGTAATACGGTACTTCCAGAACAGGACAGAAAAGTAGCTTCAATAGATCAGACCAGAGTTCTGTCTGCGTCTTCTAATTGCTGCTAGCCACATTTTCAAAAACCAGAACAGCAAGTGACTGTCACCATATTTTATTCTAATTGCCGTATCTTGTGCCATTGAAATGTATGAAGAACTTTTTTCTGAACTCAATATGTGTACTAGAAGTATCTTGGATGTGTTAGAAAATGTGATTTCCATTCATAGTGCTTTGTGCTTTGCAGTTTTACATGGTGGCTGCTCACTATGGCCCATTATCAGTCTAATATATATATATACAGTATTTTTTACAAAATGCTTTCTGAAATTATTAATGTTAATTTTGCTAATAAAAGTTATTTTATTGCAGCTCAAAGCATTAATAAGTGCCACAAAACTAGCAGAAAAGAATTTCAGAACAAGTAAGCTGAGCACAAACACTCTAAAGGATTACAGGACACAAATAAGGTACTGTATTTGTTTAATTGATGAGATTGAACATGTTCTAGGGCTAAATGTTGCAAGAACAGTAGACTGTTAGTCCCAGCTTAAATAGACCTGTTTAAATATACAGCACTTGCGTTAGTATTGATTCATTAAATCCCATTAATTTGTGATAGTTGGGACAAGTAGTTGTATTCTCATTGCAGTTGTATATGTTAATTTCATTTCTGGTGGAGTATTACTCTTATATTTATTGTAGAGATCCTGTTGACAGAGAGGGTGTGAATGGGTTCTTCTACTTTTTGGGGCAACCATTCTTCTTCGGAGGGAGATAACAACAGAGATGTCTTTATAACTTTCAAACTTTCATCTTTATTAACTCTTATCTCCTCCAGCACATTACTTATAGGATCGAAAACTCTTAACTCCGGCAACAGGCCACCATTAACAGAACCAAAACTCTTGCCATAGTCCCAAGGACTCAACAACCATTCCCTGTACGCCATTCCCTGTACCCTTCCCAGTCTTGGGGGAGGAGTACTTCAGAGGGCACAGATCGTCCCACAGCATGCCTTATCTAGCCTCTTTTATCTGGTTTGTCGTAAAACCTGTTGTGGGCTATCTCTGCCTCTCTTTGCAACTCCAGCTCACCAGGTGCCACTATCACCATCATTTCCTTTGTCATATGCCTCGTTGGTTTCGGATCACCGAGGTTGAGCTCAGGCATCAATCCACCAACCTTCAGGTTAGGAAAGTCTCTTAACAATCCTTGAGTGCGAATCCTTTCAAACTCCTTCCTTCGGGTTTCAGCTCTGTTTCACTCATAATCTGGTACCATTGAACTGAACCAGCACACCCATTCCTCATTTATATCTTCCTCCCACTTCTTGCTCTGCCCCCTCTTTCCCTCTCGCCTCTTCTGCTAAACAAGCCTCTGTCTTTCCCGCCTTTTCTTTTGATTCTATTTCTCCCGTGTCTTTTATAACTGTCACCCCTTCATCTTTTTGTTCTACCTTCCTTTTCTCCTCTTCTCCTCCTTCTATGGCCTCTATTATCATGGGTGGCTCACTCATACATTCTGCTCCTTCACAGAGGGCAAATTGTTTTCCTAATAGTAGGTAATCTACATAATTTCTTCTGATACTGAGCTTGGATAATTTCATACCTGTTGGATTGGGGACAAAATCCTGTCATGCATAAATACAGCAGAGGGACATCCAATGCATACTCTTGGGACCCCCCTTCTAAATTACATGGACAAATAAAAATGTTTATTTTTGAATATTGCACACAACCAGGTTAGTTCAAGAAAGACACAAGATGAATGTAGTTTTAAGAGATATTTAATGCTAAGAATTTTGTATTTTGAGGAACAAAATAGAAAATTTTGCAGAATAATCTAGTGCCCTCCAATTTTATTCCTTGTTCCTTTCTTCCTTTTCAACATAAAAACCTAGGTTTCTGCTTTCTGTTTTGAGGTTAAAATATATTCTTCTGAGCATGTGAGATCTTACTGGTGTGCATTTTTTTTGCTGGTGCCATTTTGTTTACATAAGGATCAGCATTCCATCCCCTTCTTGACAGAAAGTCCCTAATAACACTTGTTCATGTGTTGGTAATCTCAAGGAGCAACTATTTCAGTGCTTCCTACATGGACTGCCCTTGAAGGTGGTTCGGAAGCTGCAGCAAGTGCAAAATACGGCAGTCAGTTTGGTCATTGATACATCTAAATTTGACCATGTTTCACCCATCTTGATCTGCCTTCACTGGTTGCCAGAGTGCTTCTGCGCCAAATTCAAGGTACTGATGTTAGCTTCTAAAGCCCTTTATGGCTTAGGACCTTGCTATCTGTCAGAATTCCTCTCACTCAGGTCCTGTCCCACCCACACTTCCTAATCCTTGATGCTGCAGGTGACAGCTCCGAGAGAGCGCTGGAAGGCATCAACCAGTAACAGGGCCTTCTTGGTAGTAGCCACCCCACTCTGGGACTCCCTCCCTGTGGACGTGTGATTGGCCCCCACACTCCTGAGCTTCCAAAAGCAAGTGAAAACCTGGCTTTTTATCCAGGCCTTTACAAACCTTGCCCCTTTTGAGTGAGTTTATGCTGACCCATGGTTTGCCAAAGGGTTTTTTATTTTATATGTTCATTTTTTTAAATTGCTATATATTTGTGTTATTTCCTGGAAGCCACCCAGAGTAATGGCTTGTCCACTAAATGGTTGAGGTGTGCATTTAAACTAATAAATAACTAGCAAATAAATAAACACTAGAAAATAATGTATAAATACTGATATTGGGCAACCAAGATGGAACCCTGACTATAGGTTAATTCATCTTTCAAATCTAGATGAATTATCTTTGTAATATACAAATGTAATTCATCAAGTATATCTATTATAGATAAAAGATTATCTACAACAATCTACAGAATAAGAGTTGTGAACTATCAAGTAGCAATGGGAGCTTATCATCAGTTTCTATGGAGAGAAAAATCATTCCCTTTTCGCTAGTCTGCTAGAAGACAAAAAACCTTTGGCCTTAACATTCCAACAAGAGGCTTTTTCACTGGCAACACATCAGATACATTGATACATTCAGGAAGGCATGCAACTGATTGTGTTGCAAATAATTTGTCAGATGCAATAGCATTGAGACACTGTGTGTGGCTTCAGGCAGCTGGAGTGTCTGATATCATGGGCAAACTGTAAGAAAAGAAATATAGCAAAAAGAATGGGTTTTTATTCTCAATAACAGCACAAATAGTACTGCTTATCCTGGAGACATTCATACTCATAATTATCAGGTAGATATACTTCAGAAAGACAAAGACCGTCAACATGTATTATAGTATTAGAGACAATCAAAAATACAGGTTCAACAGTACTATAGTACTAGAAAGAAGCAGCATGAGAAATTAAAACAGTACCTTTGATTTCATTCCTACCAAGATCCACAGCCCTTTGAGTTACTACCACTAGAACAATAATCCAACTCAAGTACCATATTTCAGCACCTCGCACACTGTCACCACCAATGAATGGGTCTTGACCATAGTCGAGCACAGCTATGCAACAGAGATTATATCCCTTCCTCCAAAAGGTTATTTCGGACCTACAACACAATCTCAGGTTTTAGAAGAGGAAATAACAGTTCTTCAGAACGATGCCACACAGATTATTCCATTATGAAGAATACATTTTCTTCCCAGTATTTTACCATCCCCAAGAAGGATGGAAGTGAGACCTATTTTGGACTTAAGGGATTTAACCTCATACATGGAAACAAAAAAAGTCAGGATGGTGACAGTAGAAGCTATATTTTTAAAGAAAGGAGACTGGTTTGTGTATGTTTCCATATTTCTGTCCAGCCAGAACATCAATGTTCCCTACACTTTGCTTTAGACAGCAATATATTTGAACTCAAAATACTCTCTTTTGGTCTATCAATAACACCCACAGTCTTCACCAAACTCCTGGCCCAGTAGGAACATACCCCAGAATTCATGATGTGACTGTTTTTCCATGCATAGACAATTGGTTGATTGTGCCATAGTCAGAGGACAAAACAGAGAAACACATAGCCCTCACACTATGCTGTTGAATCTTGGTCTACAAGTAAACATTAAAAAGTCACATTTAGAGCCAAAGAAAAATGATTCTATATATCAAAGCAATTCTAAATTTAAGGTGTTCAAGAACATACTTACCTTAAGACAGGATAGACAAAATTATGGAATTCACAAAAAGATTTCAGACCAATGTGTCAGCGATGGTGTATGTGGCCCAGAAATTGTTAGGCCTTATGGCTTCAACAACAGCTGCAAATCATCATGCCAGATTGAGAATGAGATATCTTCAAGACTATTGACATATGAGATGGTGTTTGTAGTGGCAGTAATATCAGCAAGAAAGGCAAGCAAGTTATGTACTCTTCAATGTGATTCACACTTTTTGTAGTTCCACAAAGTGACATTTTTCACTGGTGTATCTTTCCTGCCAAAAGTGGTTTTAGATTTTCATGTAAATCAGTCTTTGATATGATCTACATTCTTCTCTTTGCTATCTTCAGACCTAGAGAGAACTTAGGATATATGTGTGGAGCTTTAGCTTTTTATACTTCAAGGACAGAACAGTTCCAAAAGATCAATAGACTTTGAGTTACTTAGGACTGAAGAAGTGTCAATTAATTTCATCTCAGTGTATATCTAAATGGATAGTAAACACTGTCGTCAGTTGACAAAGAGACCTTTACCAACATCTTTGAAAGGCCATTCAGCTAGAGCAGTTGCAGCATCTACAGTGTTCCTAAAGATAATTCAGATGAAAAATATTTGCAGAGTTGTAGCACAAATGTTTCATTTGTGAAACATTTTAGACTGGATGTCAAGATGAAACATGATCCTTCATTTGGCAGAGCAGTTGATGTGAAATCCCACTATCTTGTAAGTGAGCTTGTCAGTCAGCTGAAAGGTGTGAATCATAGAGACTGCAAAGAAGGATAGGTTGCTTACTTGTAACTGTAGTTCTTTAAGTGGTGCTCTGTGAATTCACACAGCCCACTGATCCTTCCCTCAGTCTGTCACACAGATGTACTGTATTATCAGTGATTTTTTTACTTTTTATTTTTGTTTTTTTGCATGTTTAACATAACAATATAAACGTAAATTACACTAAAAAGAAAAAAGTTTAAAATGAGCAAAACAGAACCAAGAGAACAAAACAAACAGACAAACAAAAGGTCAATACGATATAAAATGTTATGGTATTATATATGTTCACAATAAACTATCTTATACATTTATAATGAATCAATGAAGGGCTTCCATGTATCTACACAGATATTCTCACAGAGTTGCTTTCTGTATGATATTAGTTCAAAAGAGGCTAATTGTCTCAAATCTTCCAACCATTGTGTGAAAGGTATATAATCAGTGATGGGCTGGGGAACCGAAGATTGGCTGTTGGGTGGGGAAGCATGTGCATTGGGAGAGGTTGAATTAATGGTTTTTAGGCTCTTGAAAGTTCCAAAGATATCCAGGCAGGTGCAGAAGGAACCCATAAATGTGAATTCACAGATGAACATTTAAAGAACTACAGTTGCAGGTAAGTAACCTGTCCGGATTGTGATTCAGATAGCCCAGACCAAAGTTGTTTAGGATTGTATATGTCAAAACTAGAATTTGGAATTGTGCCCAGGAATGGACTATAAGCCAGTGACACAGTTGTGACAAGAATTTCTGTAACTACTTCCAGTTAGAATTCTAGCTGCAGGAACTTGGACCAACTGAAGTTTCCAAACACTTTGCAAAGATATATGTAAATGGTTTTTTTAAAAAAAATCTCACTGAAGTCCCAGGAAAACTTTCCTCATGATTTTAGAAGAAATAGGCTTAAAAGCTGAACGTTGTACAACATGTGGTTTTAACTTTTTTCTTGATAACCTGATTTTTTTGTTGTTGTTACTATTTTACATTGTAAAAAGGAATACAAAAAGATTGTATGACAATGAATGCCAGAGAGATAATTCTTTAGTACAGAGTATGCTAAAGATATGGAAACAGATAAAGTATGTACGTAAACAGCAAGGATTTATCAGTACGTCTGTAAAACTTCAATTTCGAAGGTAAGTGTGTATAAGGCATTCATAGTACTTGACAATAATCTTTTATTTAGTTTTTTTTTGTCTACAGGGATTGTTAGTCAGAGCACATACATGAATGTACCAAAATTTAATAGATTAAATGTTAAGACAGTGTTATAAAAGTATATTAGTCATGAAACAGATTAACAACTGAAAAGCATAGAATAATAAAGTTAGTTGGACTGTCAAAGACTATGAGAACATTCTTTGCAAAATCAGACAAAGAGTGACTGTTCACAGCAACAACTGAAGAGGTGTGCATAGCTGGAAAGAGCACAAGCAGATATCGAAATAGTTGTTTTATTTGTTTACCATGATAGAAATTGAAGATATATTGCTTTTGAGTATGTAGTCATGGTTGAGTCCATAAAGAGTTGTTTTGCTATAAAAGCTTCAGAACCCTCCTGGCCACAGCGCAAGAGGTGAGAGGAGTGAGGCCGAATCAGTTTCGTTCATGTAATGCTAAATTACGGTCATAGATGAGTATTCTGACTCTGTAAAGTAAGAGCACTGGAGTGGGTGGGTAAGGACGGAGATATTTTGTCTCTGGATATCTGATCTAGGACAATGAGTTTTACTGCTGGAATTGCTTGGACTATGTGTCTCCACCTACAATATGCTTGGTTTATTTTATTTGTACTGTATATTCAAATATTGCATATGAGCTTCCAGTGACTTTATTCCAAAGGAAATCAAGCTAGCTGAAGTCCAGTAGTCTTGGAATATTCCAATACTTGAAGAATTTCACTGCTTCAATTCTTCAATGTTTAAAGAATTTCACTAAGTTGGAGATGCCAGGAGCCATGGCTGCCCCTTTCATCTTTAGAGAACAAAGATGTCTCCTTGGAGGGACAAGAAATGTGAGAATGAAGAAAGTGGCATTACTAACCCCAAGAATAGGAGTCTAGGATTAAAGGAGGAACTAGGAGAAGGCCATGTGGTCCTTAAGATTTAGAACAGAGGCGGTGGAGCAATCACAGAGTAATTGGCAAACCTTTAGGTCTGAAGAGTTAGGGTGTAAAATTCCAGCTATGCTGGAAGCAATGGTGCTTGAGACTGAACCACCAGCCTACAGATGATGTTTGTAACCTGAGTTTGAAGTCACTCTCCAAACTGACTTAACACAAACATCTACCATCACATTTTGCACTCTTATCTACAGTTTATCTGTATTGTCCATGAAATGGTGGCAGTTAGCCTGATGAAGTGGAATCTTCTCCATGGAAGCTTCCAATTTGTTTAATTTTTTTAGTGGTCTTAAAAAAGGTATCACCCACTCTTCCATTTATGTAAGGTTAAAGGAAGGTAAGCATAGATCAGAGCAGGTAAAGAAAGCCTTAGGAGTTCTTTTCTCTACTCTTCCTCAAGCAAAGAAAAGAATTTTCTTGAGTGTGAGCTGAGTTGTACAAGTATTAAGTCACTTCTAACAACTCAGACTCATAGAGCTTCTGCATGATGTTCCATTTGTATTTGCCTTCAAACTTTGGTACGTATTTATAAATGTAAAATTAGCTCTGGAAGCTTTATTTGATTGCAGGGAAAATTATAGAATAGGAGGGCTGTAGAAGATTGGGCAGATCTTTTAACGTCTTCTGTGACAGTCTTCTGTTATAACTTCTTTGCTTGCAAAAAAGAAAAAAAAGAAAGGGTGGTTGTATAGCTTTGAATTATGTAGCTTGAGCCAAAGGGTTGAAGTTTGTGAAAGTTTCATTATTTTCTTTCTATCTTTCAATAAGATTGACCTGTAACTCTGAACTGAATGACTGTGAAGGCAGAATATCAGAAGATGATGAAAAAGTGGTAAGACATGAATGAGAAGAAAGTGGTGCCAATTATCAAGTAGGAAAGTAAGGAATAAAAAGCAAAGAAAAAAGTATTAGGAATTGAGAGAATATCCTGGTTTAATATTTAGCTTGAGCAGTGGGCTAAATACCCTGTTTCCGGGAAAATAAGATCTAACCTAAAAATAAGCCCTAGTATGATTTTTTAGGATGCTCATAATATAAGCCCTACCCCAAAAATAATCCCTAGTTAAGTGAAACCCTGCCCTCCACCATTGTGCAGCAACCAGAAGATGACATGACTGTATTTGAATAAATATAGATGGTTGTACATGAAAAAAATAAAACACCCCATGAAAATAAACCCTCATGCGTTTTTGGAGCAGAAATTAATATAATACCCTGTCTTATTTTCGGGGAAATATGGTATTGGCTATAAATGAAAATAACATAATAAAGGGATAAGAAGTAAAATTTATAAAATATTAATAGACATAAAGGGCCAATAATATTTTCTTAAAACATTATGGGCAGCATGACTTAGGAGAAGAAATAAGTGCTGAGGTTTGGAATAATATATGGGATACAAGGATATTGAAATCCATGTCCATAAGGATAAAGGAAAATTTGTATGAGTTAGCTTGGAGATTATATTTAAGTCCAGTGAAATTAGATCAAATTAATATTAATTATTCTACTTTGCATTGGGGAGAATGTCAGAAAACAAGCATTTTCATATGTTGTGGGGATGTGAGAATATATTGAAGCTTTGGCAGTTGGTTTCCAAGGGAATAAATGAAATAGCTACCGGTAAATGTAGAGATATGTTGTTTTAGAGCTTTTATCAATATTTGACAAAGATCAATGGAACTGGAGGACAAAATAACTAATTTCAAATTTATTAACAGTAGTAAGACCGATGATAGCAAGGAATTGAAAAAGAAAGTATGGTTTTCAGTTGAATGAATGGTATGAAGATCTTTGGAATATAGCTATAAATGATAAGCTAACAGTAAAGAAAGGTTTGATAAATAAGAATATTTTTATAGAAATTTGGGGAGACTTTGTATTAATAAAGGGAAGGGTTGTGCACCTTTTTAAGAATCTGTGCAATTTTGGAAGGAGAACGGGGCTCCAAAAAGGGAGGAAGAACTGGACATATCTCCAAATGATCTTAGTGGCGGGGAGCACATTTTGTATAATAGTTTTCTGTTTTTTTGTGTTACTAAGTTTTTAGGTATGTATTTTTTTGTTTTTAGATTTATTAAAATAAAAATTTTAAATAATTTATGGACTATTTTTTAATTAAAAGAAGAAGAAACAGAAGGTGATTATGTTAAAAAAGAATATCAAAATAGTAAATATTTGTACCATGGGAGAATGAGAGACCAATGCTTCTTACTTTTTTCTGTACAATTAATGACCAAAATCCTGTGGTTTGATTATACCTGTAGAAAGTAAATTGTGTAATTTGCAGTGACTTCTTGATGGCAATTAATGAATCTCCACTTGGATTTTCATGTATGTTAACTTTAACATGAAAGCTCACATTAAAATATAAAAGTCTTTAAGGTGCCACATGTTTTTGTCTTGTTTTGTTTCTTTGGATTTTTATTGATGTGCTTGCACAGACTAACATGGCTACCTCTTCTAAAACTGCAAGTTACATTGTTTGTTTTCCACAAACATAACTAAGCAACAGTATTTTGGCCAGTGCCTGATACTTAACATAGAAATTCGGTTGACCTGAATATTTAAAAATTCAGTGTAAACTGAAATGGGAGTACGCCTGATCTTTTAAGTGTCATTCTAAGCTTATACATAGAGTCTAAATTTAAGTAATATGAATGCAGATGCTTTGATTGATTTGAAAGTATATAAGATACAGTTAAAATATTAATATTGATTTCTAGGGATTCATGAGTTCAACCCCTGCTTTTCAAACAACAGATTTTGGACAGAGAAATGAATTTCTATTCATACCACATCTTACCTTTATAACAGAAATAACAGCAGCAAGCATGTGCCCCATGTGAGTTGCAGAGTGTTTTTAGTTTTGTGAAACTTCTGCTTTCATAGTAGTTTTTCATGTATGTTGGTAGTGAATGGGGCAGGTGTCCTAGCCTGAAATTTCAGAGTGAACTGCCCCCATTTTATATGTTGAAACATTAATTTTTTCCATCTGTTTGATCTGTATTCCTATACTGCTAGGGATGAACAAAGGAGAAGAGAAAAAGTCAAGTTGGAGAAATACTTCATTAAAATATATTACAACAATAAATTAGTTTCCTCTACTTCAGAAGCTCCTCTCCACCAAGATTTTAAAGTAATATTTCAGCAAGTTTTTAGAATTCAAGTATTAAACTGGCCTCAATCTCTTGAATTAGAGGTATTGTTCTTTTTACAAAACAATCATGTTGATGAAAGTCAGCTTATAATAGTACTTTTGTTATCTCTCTGAAAAATTCTTTTTCATATTTGTGGTTGCTTCATATATTTTGAAATTAGTTACTAGGCCACAAGTACATTATATGAACTTAAATGTATCCCTTAATGCAGTGGTCCCCAACCTTTTTAGCCCCATGGACCAGCTGGGGAAGGCAGAGAACCCCCTGCGTTCGTGCGCATGCGTGAAGGTTGGCGCAGTGCTCGTGTGGGCGCAGTTGCATGCTGTGAGGGGGAAGTGTGCGGGGTGGGGGGAGTCTCTCCATCAGACTAAGGCTGCGGACTGGCACCAGGGCACAGACCGGTGGTTGAGGACCTCTGCCTTAATGTGTATAGGATAATACGATTTTTACTGTACATGCTATGGCTACTGTGGAGGCCGTATGAGTAATAGAAATGAAAGGATTTTACATTTTGAAAGTATATCATAACACCTTGACTGGAATCCTGTTGGTAGTCCCAGCTAGATGAGACCCAATTTCTTCTTGTGGGAACTGTCACTTAGTCTCAAAAAAACAGCCCTCAACTTTGATTTTAACTGTCTGTAAAGCCTCATTTCCCCTTCCATGGATTGCTGCCTTGTTGTGGCGAAGGGGCTTTTTTGAAGCTCAACATCAGAAAACAAAGATCATGGCCATTGGTCCCATCACCTCCTGGCAAATAGAAGGGGAATATATGGAGGCAGTGACAGGTTTTACTTTCTTCCATGATCACTGCAGATAGTGACAGCAGCCACAAAATTAATAGACGCCTGCTTCTTGGATGACAAACCTAGATAGTATCTTAAAAAGCAGAGACATCACCTTGCTGACAAAGGTCTGCATAGTCAAAGCTATGGTTTTTCCATTAGTGATGTATGGAAGTGAGAGCTGGACCATAAAGAAGGCTGACCTCCAAAGAATTGATGCTTTTGAACTGTGGTGCTGGAGGAGACTGTTGAGAGTCCCCTGGACTGCAAAGAGAACAAACCTATCAATTTTGAAGGAAGTCAACCCTGAGTGCTCAGTGGAAGGACAGATCCTGAAGCTGAGGCTCCAGTACTTCGGCCATCTCATGAGAAGAGAAGATTCCCTGGAAAAGACCCTGAAATTGGGAAAGTGTGAAGATAAGAGAAGGGGACGACAGAGGACGAGATGGTTGGACAATATCACCGAAGCTACCAACATGAATTTGACCCAACTCCGGGAGGCAGTGGTAGACATGAGGGCCTGGCGTGCTCTGGTCCATGGGCTCACAAAGAATCGGACATGACTAAACGACTAAACAACAACAACGCCTCATTTAAAAATACTGTGATGGAGAAAGCTATTAAAGAAGAGCAGGCTTGTCATCAAAACAAATTTAAAGACTCTATTCTAATTAGATTCAGTACTGAGCCACCAACGTTGGTATTGGAATATGACTTATAGGAAATACAACAGACTGTTCTGGAGTGACCAAAAGCTTTGACACCAGCAACTTTGGCATTGAAGAAAAGGAGGAAGGCCACAAGGATGGAATCTTCAAAAGGCTAAAAAGATAAACAGAAGAGATAACAAAGGATCTGTCTTCAGTGGTAGTTTGTCTCTCACTATTTCAGCACACTTTAGATTCAGGAAAGACCACATACATTGCATGTTTGAAGGTTTTGTTTAAAGGAGAAGCTAACTCCTCTGGGCACTCAACAGATAAGTCACCACAAATGCTTCTCCAGCCCAACAACTTACCAGTTTACCTGAGCTGGAGAATGTTCTTGCTGTTATAGCTGCCAGAGTAGATTTTGTTCTAGATGGGTGGGGTATAAATTAAATAAATATAAATGAAAAATACTGGCCACAAATCCCTCCTTAGATCCCACAATACGTAATAATTACTGACTAGTCTCTAATACTTTATTCTTTGGCAAGGTGGTAGAATGGATTGTGGCTTTTTAGCTCCAGGGTTTCTGGATAAAACAGATTATATAGATCCATTTCAATCTGGAATCAGACCTGATTATGAGATGGAAACTGCTTTGGTCACCCCTTATCCAGTTCCACCTAGGTCTAGAACTGGATAAGGGGAGTGTGTCCCTGTTGGTTCTGCTAGTCCTCTCAGCAGCTTTCAGTGCCATGGTATCCTTCTGGTACATATTGCTGGGATGGATCTTGAAGGCACTGTTTTACAGTGCTCCTGATCCCAGCCTATGACTTTCATCAACCATTAAAAATGGATGTTAGAGCTAAATTGGATGCTTCATTCGGTCTTCAATGCTTGTGTGACATCCACCTAGTGCTAAGTTAGCTTTGGAGTCACCCATGTGTGTAAGTCATAGAGACCACAAAGAGGAAGGACAGGTTACTTACCTGTAACTTTGGTTGTTTGAGTAGTCATCTGTGAATTCACACAATCTGCACAATTTCCCCTCTGTCTCTATGCTACTTCCATATATAGTGTGGCATTGGATAGAGGAACCTGAGCACCAACTGTTGGGCGAAGCAGTTTATTAACTAAGAGGAGGGGTTAACGCTCTAGAGTGATCCCAAGAGCATTTTTAGATGCAGAAATACCCGTGTGTGTGAATTCACAGATGGCCATTCAGAGAAACAAAGTTATAGGTAATTAACCTGCCTGTCTCCTTTAACTGGATAGGATTTAGGCAGTGTATGGATATTCCGAAGATATTTACAAAACCAGGTCAGTAATCCCTTCAAAGCTGCTTTGGATTGCATTACTGAGTCCTTGTCTGTACAAATCAGTTTTTCTCCAAGTACGTATTTTTATAATCTTGCTTTTTTTGCATACAGTATTACAGTTTATTTACCTGTTTCTTGTTTTGCCATGATTAATTAGTTTGAGACATCTTTACAAATTTTATGAACAAGAAATTTCGTATTATAACACAATAGGTACTGTTCTGTTACACTACTTTGAATGAATTAAAATAAATATTTGATTTAATGTTAAAAAAAGACTTAAACAAATCTTCATCTTGCCTTTTTAACAGTATGTAATTTATTTAATTTTAGGTGTTTGAATCAAGTAAAAGAACAACTTTGCTAGCCAGAGTGTACTTACCTATTCCTAATAATGTTATATTGAAAGGCAAAGATGTTTTAGATGAAGTAGATTTTAGCTGTGAACAACAAGTTAAGCCTTCAGATGGGGCAGTGGGAAGCAGTAAGTAAATCATGTAATTTGTAACATGTGGTTACAAATGTTGGAATTTGTAAACTGTATGATATCTTCAAGATTATTCAGACCAGTGTGTTTGCAAACATAACCATGCTGATAAATTACGAACATGGGACTGTGTATGGGAAGCCATTTGTTCTACTGTACTTTTCAGTAACTGTTGGTATTATGAACTGTGCTAAACATCTCGACCATCTGATAACCTTTTTAACGGTGGTTTCAGTCATTCCTATAATGCTGGAAGACTGTTCCCATTCCCATGGTCTTTAGATTGTCATCTTCTGCAGGATATCATTCTATCTTTCATGTAGATTTATTTCCCTCTGGGGATTATGGCAGGTAGTGTTATCAATCAGCTACTGATATCCAGGTCTCTCTCCTTGTTTGATGTTGGAAAGTGTGTGGAAGTCCTGAACAAATCAGTAATGGAGTAGTGCATTTTACGACAGACAAGAGAAGTTGTGTTGTTGATTATTTGATATGGAGTGAAAAGGCATTGAGCTTGTTTTATTTTTTAAAAAAATAATAATACACATACAGTATAACAAATAGAATGTCAGAAAAGAAAAAAGAAAAATAACTACAAAAATGTAAACTCAACTCCAAATCAAAATGTATAATGCATAATCTGGATAAGATGATTATTATTAAACACTTTGGAGATCCTCCGTGCCCAACACAGTTCCTGAATAGCTATGTTGTGCCAGTGATCTGGAGTGCTTTTGCTAGGTTTATAAAAGCATGACAATTGTTATCTTTTTTTGCCACAATTACACATCCAGATTACCCTACTGCAAAGTGCTCTTTGTCTGGATGCTTTTGAAAAGTGTCCAGAAATTTGAGTTTGTTATAAAGAGGAGAAGGGGACAACATGGAATGAAATGGTTGGACACTGTCACCAAAGCTAACAACATGAATTTGACCCAACTCCGGGAGGCAGTGGAGGACAGGGGGGCCTGGCGTGCTCTGGTCCATGGGGTCACGAAGAGTCAGACACGACTTAACAACTAAACAACAAATATTGTTATATATGCAACAGTTGGAGGGCACTTGCTTAAAAAAAATAAAATTAATGTAACTCTAATATTATACCAGCTTCATGAGCTTAGTTTGTTTCTAGACTCAGTGCAAACTGCTGGCTTGAATTTTAAAGTCCCAGTTTGAAACCAGAATGGCTAAAGGACCACCTCTTTCTCTGTGAGCCTCCTTGCATGCTTGCACTGGAGGAGGAGCTGTTCCATGTCCTTCTTAAATAGAAATCTTGCATTCTAGGCTGTAGTCTTGACAATTTTAAATTTTCATAGAATATCCTGATTTTGCCCCCCCCCCATTTGTACCTAAGAATTTGTGGTGTCACTTGGGTGATGTTTCCAGTGGGGCATTCTTAGTCCATTTGTGGGGGTGGCATGTTGAAGTTCTTAAAGAAAAAAATGGCTGTGGCATTTTTAATTTCATTTTGAATTGTATTTTCCTTTCCCTGTTATTGCTGCAAACCAATAACAGTAGTTCCCCTATCACTGGAGTCCTGATCACTGTTACAGCATTCCATCCCATCCCACCCCACCCTCCGGTTTATGATTTTGAATGAAATAATACCTTGCTTTCATGTTGTTCCTCCAAGATAATAGGCAAAAGTGGCAATAGTGTGAGCAGGGCATCATATCCCTCCTCCATGTGCCTGGAATAAAACGACAACATTATTAGTTTTTATTACAATGGAACTATTGTTTTGGTTTGTTTATTCACTATGGCATAAATGATATAATTATGAATAAATACATTGTCATTTTAAATGTAATTATATATTAGTGTTATCAAAAGGCTTACTTGAGTTATGTTTTATTACAGATATACCTTTTTTTCTTGACCACTATGAAACAGAAGAACTATGTATTCTAACATCAGGAAAAATAATGTATTCCTTATCTTGGACAGTTGATGACAGAGGAGTTCTGTTAGCCCCCACATGTCAACCTGCACATGTCTCCTATACTAGGTAGCAAGGTTTTTATAATAGTCTGCAATGCTATGTATGCTTATCTCTTGTTGTTATGTGCCGTCAAGTCAAAACCAATGTATAGTAACTCTAATAGGGATTTCAAGGTAAGTGAGATATTTAAGGAGTGGTTTTACTAGTTCCACTCCTTTGGTGAGTTTCCATGTCTGGGTAGGGATTTAATCTCTGGTCTCCAGAATCCTAGTCCTTCACTCCATCCACCACACCATACTGGGCAACATGCACTGTACCTGCCATGTTGAAATCTCCTGTGCCAGATGAAGCAAAATGGACTGGCTGTATAATTTTTTGAACTACACATGGCAATTATTTCCATTCATATCTTGTTATAAGCAGGATACTTCTCTTTTCAGTCATTCTTGAAACAGGTTTCTGGAAGGTATCAGAATCCTATCTTCATCTTTGACTAAACTTGTACTGGCATTGTTGATTTCTGCTATACTTTTTAAGCTACTTAGGAAACTGTTTGAATTGAAGGCTGTAACAGATAATAGGCTCCTATTGTGGAAGGCAGCCTTTCTAATTGTAATTTCTGCCTCTAGAAGGGCTGGTGAATCATGTGCTCCTAGTGTAGACTCACTGCGCCTTGTGTTCAATAAGGAAAATATAGTGCTACACCTTGTTATTACAATTCATTACAGTTGGTTTCACTTCCACTTAACCAGGATACTTTGTCCACTCTCATCAACACTCCTAGAAACTTCTCTGCATGTGTTGGTTGTCAATATGGCATTTTAATTTTATGTTAATTATACTACACCATTTGTAAATCACGTAGCACACTCTTTGTGTGCTATGCAAGACCAAAACAGGGCTTACCAATCTCTACATAATGCTGTGCTAAAATGTGTTATCATTTCCATTTCTCTATTGTGTAAATTGAATCACTTAACCTGCTCCACTGACCTCAAGAATCATCTACAAGAGTGGTGGCCCTGTTGACAGCTATTTTTGTGGGCATTCCTTTGCCAGACATCTGCTGTGCTGCAACATGGTCACATTCTTCCACTTGTGTAACTCACTGCATATTGAATGCAAGTGCTATGTCTGACGTCTCATTTGGGAGAGTTCTTTCTTCCATTTTTGTTTGATGTTTCCTTCTCCCAGTAAGTGAGCTTGCTAGTCACTAATATAGTTGAGTCACAAAGACCATGAAGAAATGCATGTTGCTTACCTGTAACTCCAGTTCTTCAAGTGGTCATCTGTGCACTCACCACCATCCACCCACCTCTGCTCTGTCACTATCTTGGCTCTGGTTTCTTAGGGACAGCAGAAATGGAAATGAAGGGATTTTGCAGAGGTGCAGTGACACATGAGAGTGGCAGTATGCAGGGTTGGGGTCTCTGCTGAAGGCAACTCGGGTTTAGAATGTTCTAAGTATGTCTCTGCATCGGGGCAAGATCCATATATGTGTGTGTTCATAGAAGGCCATTCAAAGAACCATAGTTATAGCTAGACAACTCGTTTATCTCTAAAGCTGAAATAATTACAAGTAGGTACAAAGAGTTTAGTGTTGTTATCCCCGAATACCAATTGTGCATATTTTGTTTCGTGTTTTTCAGTGTGCCAAGAAGTATCTGTTCAGGAAAAGAAACTGGAATTTGGTGGCATTCTGATATACAGAAACTTATTGCCTGGGCAGAAGAAGTCAATATTGATCCAAATGACCCTGAGTACTCAGATTTGTTTGAATTAATTGTGGTAATGAAGAAGTTTCAGCACCTAATTTAAGTTAAAAATTTTTAAAAATCTTATGTAATAAAAATTAATGAATTGAATTTATTAAGCCAGATGAAGAAGCTAAGCTGTGAATTTCATATCAAAGTAATAATTGATGATGACAAAAAAGTCTGTCTTTTTTTAAGAGGGTTTGAAAAGATTCATCCCACACTACTTTTTTTTTTCATTTTTAGTACTGTACTTTCTGTTTTTCTTCTCCTTTTTCATGTCTTTTTCCACAATGGCTGCAGGAGAATATTTACTTAACAAAACTAGGTGAATCAATCAAATGGGTATAAAGGGATTTTCCCCTCTTAATACTGGAAATTATGTTCAGTGAATGAATCTGAAAGATAGATTCAGAACTGAGAAAATGAGGCATTTCTGCATGCAATGTGATGAAATTTTGAAATTTATTTCTTCAATAACTGTTAATTGATGTTCAATACTAATTTAGCTATTGTACATCTTTCTGGAGAATAGTTGTGCAGATTAAAGATGGATCACTATTAGCTGTGATAGTTTCATGGGAACTCCAGATAAAGAGACAGTACAGTATATCTCTGAATGCTAAAGACAAACTATAAGAGAAAGTTTTTGTGCCTTGTGAATATGCGGTGGCATTTAATTGACTGCTACTGGGAAAAGATTGAATAAATGATATCATGTATAGACTTCAGTGTGTACATCAATGCAGTTTCTTCATTCTTGTTGATTCCGTATGCTACAGTAAAAGGACAAAAATATCAGCTAAAAGGATCTGCAGAAAACTTCACCTTAGGGCTTAGATAGATGGAATATTTGGAACAAGCTGGTATGGGCCAATAGAGTCACTTGAGATAAGATACAATTTGGCCCATCTCCTTTAAGAAAATAAAATTAAAAAATAAATCCCCTCCTATCTCCCTCCTTTCTCTGGGAGGAATGTTTCAATTCTACCTCCTTAAAAGGAGCAAGGTAGAATTGACTTTTTTGTTTCCTCCCTCAGTTCCTCCATGGAGCAGAAGAAGGAAGTTTTACCTTCTCAGTTTTCCAATATCATTGAGCAGCTTAGCTCTCTGTTTAAGCCAGTAATGATAATGAGAAAATGAAACAAACTGGGAAATTAAAGCAGGAAGTTCTAATTTGATTTGCACACAGTGGAAATTAACTAAAATGGATTGCTTTTACCCTCACCTAAAAAGCTCCTGACAGAGATCCATAAGGTTTGAGTAGGAATGTTCTGGCAATAGGTTTATTCATTCTAGCAATTACATTGTCTGATCGCCAGCAAAAGGAGCGAACCAGCCCGTACTCATAGTGGACCAAACAATGGGTCAAATGTTGTTAGAAGTCACCTTCCAAGTTCACCCCCTACGACAGATGTTTTTGTAATGGATGTCATGGTCCTACGCAAAACTGACCTCCGACTGGGACACAAGGTCTACAGACAACACACCCACACAGACCGGTACCTACACAAAAACTCCAACCACCACCCACAGCAAAAAAGAGGCATAATCAAAACACTGGTAGACCGTGCAAATCGGAACTGTGAAGCTCAGTTTCTCAGCACTGAACTCAACCATCTGAATTGGGCCCTACAGGCAAATGGCTACTCCAAAAATGAAATCGCAAGAGCCATCAAACCAAGAAAACAACACCAAACTGAAGAAGAAAAACAACCACCCAGAAATAAAGTATTTCTGCCATACATCAAAGGGGTCATGGACTACATGGGAAAACTTTGGAAAAAACACAGCCTACAAACAGTATTCAAGCCCACCACAAAAATACAACAAATGTTATGGTCAGCAAAGGACAGAAGCGACCCCTTCACCACTGCAGGAGTATACCGGATATCTTGCAGTTGTGGCCAGGTATATACTGGAACCACAAAATGAAGCATCCACACCAGAATCAAAGAACATGAGAGACACTGCAGACTAAAACAACCAGAAAAATCTGCAGTAGCTGAACATGCCCTAAAACAAACTGGACATGAAATTCTATTTCAAAATACTGAAATACTGGACAACACCAGCAATCATTACGTCAGACTGCACAGGGAAGCCATTGAAATCCACAAGCACCAGCAACACCCATCAGCCACAGGAACGGATAATCTCTTCTCCTTAGCACAAGAATACACCCACAACAATACACACTAATCACCCATCTACAGAAAAAGACAAAAATCTATCTCTCAGCCATAAATACTGCACTCCCAAAGCCAACTACACCAGAGCACAGAGTGCTGTCCTCTGAAGATGCTGGCCACAGAGACTGGCGAAACATTAGGAAGAACAACCTTCAGAACACAGCCAAAGAGCCCGAAAAACCCAAAACAACCATTTTTGTAATGGGTTTTCCATTCAAATCCCACACTGTTAACACACACTTGAATACAGTTCTAAGGTAGAAATTAGAAATATTTTAGTTCCTCTCTATTTCAAATATTGCTATACAGAAGAACCCGCATATCTGCAGGGGATTGGTTCCAAGCCCCCCCCATGGATGCCAAAAACTGCAGTGAACCCTACACATAGCAGGGTCTCTGGCTCTCTCTAGTGGCCAGTTCTGATAATTACATGATGGAGATTTGTATGTACTTCTGTTTTTTTTCTCTTAATATTTTTAATATCAGGTTGTGGGTAAGTGAAACTGTGGATATGGGGGTCCTACTGTAGTTTCCCCTGTTGGCCATTCAGTGTCAGATGTATTATAGTGGTAATACATATGGAGTGGAGTCTGTCAGATGTGAAGCTCTGACATAAAATCCTTGTGTATGTATCAGTATGGTACTAATGAAGCTGAATGTAAAATATCTGATGGTGTTAAGTCTTGATAATATTGAAAAGTTTCTGGAAACACTACATATTCATCTGGCACAGAAAGCCAAGTCTACAAAATCTATGCATCTGAGTTTTCCGGATTGCCAAAGAATTTAAAATTCAGGCCTACTCCAGTAGCTAGGCTTTCTCAATTTAAATGCTCAAGTACAAAGATGTACCATTAGATACAGTATTTAGGGTTTTTAAAAGTTTAATTACCTAAATAATTAAGTTTATATTTTTTGTTCTCTAATAGTATGCTAAAGCCGAAGAACAAAGAGATTCAAAATACTTTCGCCTTGAACAGCTGCAAGAACAATTTAACTTTGTTACTCCAGAAGAGATTAAAAATTGTAAACGTTTCCAGCTGCTGCAGCTGAGAAGCTTAGGACAGTTAAATTCCTGCTGTTTTCAGCAAATTCCTCTCTATGACAGAGAGATACCAGACACAGTTTTTCAGGTATTTAAATTTATAAACATATTGTTTTCTTTCAGTTTTGCTTGGCAATTCAGCGTCACTCCCCATGCAATTCTGCATTTCTGCTGTGAATGTGCCAAATGTCATTCTAATTTTCTTACAATATTGTTAGTGAGATTACAGCTATGTGATATCTCTCTCATAATTTTAATTAATGAAAATTAATTAATTAAATTATGATCATGAAATGCACAGGGATGCATAAATGACTAACATAAGAGTTTTGCTGAATCAAACAAAATACCTTCCTAGTTCAGCATTTTGCTCCCACAGTAGTCAACAAGATGGCCGTGGGAGATTGAGCACAGAAACAAGAATTGAAAGGAATTCTGTGCTCCAGTTTTTATTCCCCGGTAAGAGGTACTGAAAGCCACGTTATTTCTGATTCTACAGATACTGGAGATAATATATGGCTATTTTGACTGTTATGCTTTTGAATACCATTTGCTAGGATCTGCAAGCACGAGGATGGCATGATACTCATGAGAGATGTGCCACTGTTTTTGGACTCCCAGAATTCTCCAAGATTTCCCCAGAATTCTGGGACTTCTAGCCCTCAAATACATAAATGCAGACTCCTTAATTTCAGTCACCTGGACATGACTGAATTCTCTTTGAATACCTTCATTTGCTGCTGCAGTGTTTTCTGGAAGCTTCTTCCCTTTTCTGGGAATGATGGTTTTTTCAGAAGGTGCCTTCAACAAAGTATAAAGAGCAATGAGACTGCCCCCTGCATGAAGTATTGGAGCAGCCTTCTTCCACCATTGCAGCAGGAAATGAAAGCTTTGAAGAAGACCTCAGCCTTGTCCCGGTGATCAACACGAAGGTGTTTGCATGTACAGTATATGCTTGTGGACTGGAACTCCCAGAACTCTTTCTGATTAATTCCTGGAAAATTTTAGGTTTTGGAGTCCAAAAACTAGACAAGCCCCACAACAAAAAAGCAAATGGCACACCCCTAATACACATGTTCTTTCTTTGGGCTTTTTATCAGAGAAAGACACTGGTAATACTGCAGAACCTCTGCTTTCATACCATTTACCTCTAATGCATTTTATGCATTTTGCTAGTGTATGCTCCTTTAAGAAAATTCTGCAAAACAAGGAACAAGGTTTCTTTCTTTCTTTCTTTCTTTCTTTCTTTCTTTCTTTCTTTCTTTCTTTCTTTCTTTCTTTCTTTCTTTCTTTCTTTCTATCTATCTATCTATCTAACTAACTAACTAACTAACTAACTAACTAACTAACTAACTAGATTTTTACAGTGGTTTTAGGGGAATGTTGCACAAGAAAAGGAGTATTTTGCGAATGCTTATTTTACACTGTTAAAAGCTAGTATTGTTGCTAAGTGTATGAGTCAACAGGAAAAAGAGCTTTGGATTTACTGTGAAGTCTTCAAAACTGTAGCTGAAAGTGGACTTTGTGGTTAAACTAATCATTTTTTTCTTCCTCTGTATCTAACATTCAAGCTGAATTTTAAAACTTGCTAGCTGTTTCAGTTGGTAGTAATTAAAATATTGTTTGAACATGGACTGAGATGTTTCTTACATGGACCACCATGGCTTTTTCTTTTTCTATGTCTTGAAGAAGTTCAATACTGTATGTTAATTGGCTCTTCTCTATTCAGTTCTCCCTTATAAGCACTAACAAACAAGAATTCTGTGATTAGCCATCGGCTAGATTTTAATTGGTGCTAGATCCTTGAATAAACTACAGACAAAGCAATAACAATAAGATTTGTATAGGAAAAGCAATACACATATCAGTTATATAAGAAAATGAAAATATCATATTATTCCAGGCTTTTAGCACCCAAATAACTGTAGCAGTTTCAGAACTATGCTTCTTTGTCACAGTCTCTATGCATTCATGCTGATGTATATGTCCCTGTCCAGAGCTACCTCATTTGGAATAGATGAGAATGAGAGCTTTTGAATGTTGGCCTTTTTCTACCATCTCTTCTGTAATGTGTGTTTCAGCACCTCTTCCTCAGTTTTGATTCATCTACCAAAGTGACTACACCTTTGGTTGACTTCTCTGAGACAGATTTGAAACCTAATGTCCATGATTCTGTTTTTTTAAAATATTTTATTTATTTAGTATCATTTGTAGTCTGCATTTCTCCTGATTAGGGGACTTTTTTTCTTGTATATAATTTATTTTTCAGTATATTTTTTGCAGTTAGTGTTGTTCCTTGGGGGGGGGGGAGTTAGGGTGAAACTATATAGTTACCTAGGGATTGAATTGGGCTAAACAGAATCACTTGAGAGTGTATTCGGACATTTACAACACTGCAGTTCAGAGTGACTCTATTTTGCCTATTTTTTTTCCTTTTGGCCTCCATGGAGAGTGGGGAAATCGGGATTTGTTTTATTTATTGATAAGGGACATCTCACTTCATTGGCTTGCTACCATAGTGGCATTAGGGGAAACACTCATTGGAGCCACTTTGGGTCAGTACTGGTGATTACACATGCCAGAAACTGAACTAAGTCAAAGCAATACTGCTTCTGCTAAAACAAAAAAACAAACAAGCTAATAGCCCCTACCAGTGATCCAGAATGATGTGGATAGCCACAAAAGAGAGTCAGGCTGGTTCATAGTTACCAGTATGTTGTGTAGTCACTGAAAAATAGCAGTCTAAAATGTGATTGCACCCCTTAGTATTTCTTAAAAGTGGCTTTCTGTGTGTTCATATGACTCACCATCCTCCCCTCTCCAACCCTGTGGCTAAATGACAATGGCCACTGTGCAGCCCAATATTTGAAAACTGAGGAAAGAAGCACTGGTGCATGCCAATTTTAATAGCTCTTCACTTTTGAAGATTCTGCGCAAACAGATCCATCAGTATGAGCGCACAAAAGACCACTTGAAGAACATACATTACACAAATCAACCTGTTTTTCTGTCTGATTGAACAGCCCATAAAGAGTAATATTTCATTCAGGAAAATTACTTCACTCTTTGTTTTAGGAATATGGAAGCCAATTAGAAAAAGACATATTGATGACAGATTTGGATCCTATTTCTGCAGAAAGGAGTAGTTCTGCCAACTATATTAGGATGGTATGATACTTTTCATCATCTCCATATGAGAAAACTAAGGGCTGCAAAATTACCTGTTGTGCTAAAAATAGAGCTATGTATTATTTCAGCATGGATTGGTTATAAGGACTGTTATCCTACATGGAGTGACGTGTCATGTCTTAGCAATATATGCCTGTATAGGATGTTATTAGTACACTTGTAACAACTGGCTTTAGTATTAGCCAAGATGTAAATCCCAAAATAAGTTTGAAAGAATCATTTTGGAATCAAAATAGGCAGTTACTGGACAAAATCGTAATATATAACCTTATGCCTGTCATAACTCAGATTGTGTGCCAGAAACATTTAATTTACACTAATTAAAAGCTTTCTACACCCATGTTTAAGGTTCTGTGGCTCCTTATGGCTCCTTTTTTCCCTTGGGGAAGCCTTTGGGAGCCTTGGGATGGGGATTTTTTAAAAAAAAAATCATCACCAGATTAACAGAAGCAGTCCCAATCTGAGCAGTGGTGATCCAGTGATGATTTTTTTTCTTTTACTTTCAGAGCCCCCCACCCACCCATCCTGAAGCTCCCAAAGGTTTTCACAGAGCAAATGGGAACCATAGGAAGCCTTGGAATCTAAAATGGTACAGCACGCTAGGACTATTTTAATTTGTGTAGATTAAATGGCACCTGATCTGAGTTATGCTCTGTACAAAGTTACACAACAGGATTTTGCTCAAAGAGTGAAAACAAGCAGATAAACAAACAAATCACACGCTCACTTTATTTGGAAATGTAGATTATTAGCGGTACTCTGTCAACAGTATTGTTTTTACAAAGACTGAAACTGAAATGACATATTTTATGCCTAACACCTCCCTCCCAATAGAAAACTAGATATCAAATTGAGTAACAACTACAGTTTATATTTTCAAAAATACGTCAAGATTTTTTTTCACTTTGTTGTCCCAATAGTTCTACATACATTTTGCAACTTTTCTTGTGCCTAATAAGGTTAGTCCAATTATGTCAGGCCCTATTCACCACCTCACATGTGATTGGACAGATGTGGACTTAAATTAAGGAGTCTGGTAAATAAGCATATTTGAAACAAAAGTACTACTTTAAGCATATGATTTTCTTTTCAGTGAAAGCTTTTTACAAACATAGGATCGTAAGTAGCCCAATAGAGAGTAGAGTACTTTAAGTCTTTGCCCCACAATGAGTCCCAATCCAGACCAGACCTTTCACATGAACACAGTTAATATTTACATGAGGGGGGAAATCTTGTAGCAAGAGAGTAAAGGTATTTCTCCCAAGTCAACAGTAGCTATAGGACTCTAGATTGAGGTTATGGCTGGCTGTAGTTCCTTCCACTCCACTGAGTCTTCTGGTCCCTGTTGATATCCTCCCCTCCATGCTAACTCGTTGTGAAGGGAAAGTCTTTCACTCAGAGACAAGCTACATGCCTAATGTAATGTGTGTGTTTTTTTGTCCTTCATCTGCACCCTCCTTGGGCTTCAGAAGAGAAAATGTGTGCAACAGTGTATGTTGCTTTGAATAATGTCTTTGCTATAAAATGTTTGCGGTTTGGTACTTTATATGGTGGTTTTCAATGCATTAAGAAACATTTACATTTTCTGCAGATGAGAAAGCAAGTTACACAACAAATTGTGACTATTAGGCACAAATGTAGTTTATCAGACATTGTGAGTGAGTATGAAGAAATCATATCTATGAGGTACGTAATTATTAAAAGGTTTCCTTTAAACAGGCTGATACAGACATACTTCAGAAAACCTGTGCTTAATACAGTGGTGCCCTGCTTGACGACGATAATCCGTTCCAGGAAAATCACTGTTAAGCGAAATCATTGTGAAGCGGGGGGAAAACCCCATTGGAATGCATTGAAAATGGGTTAATGTGTTCCAATTGGGAAATACCTCATCGTCCAGCGAAGATTGCCCATAGAGAATTGCCGATCAGCTGTTTAAAATCGCTGTCTTCCGAAGCAGGGGTCCGGAAAACAGCCATTTTGCGAAGGGAGGGAAACCAGTTTGCGAAGGGAAGCCATTTCGCGGAGCCGGAAAAAACATTGTTTTGTGAACAAATGGTTCGCGAAGCAGGGACCTAATCAACGTAAAGTGGATTTCCCCCATAGGAACCATTGTTTTGCGATCGCAATAGTGATTGCAAAAAAGTCATCATAAAGCCATTTTAACGTCATGTGGGGTAAGCGTCTTGCGGGGCACCACTGTAATTGGTAACATTAAATGTTATGGTTCTTTTTAAGAAACTTGAAAGCAGAAAATCATTGAAGAATGTTTACGTTACTCAAAACTCAGTTTTCCTAACTTTGGGAAAAGATAGGATTCTATAAAACACATGAATAACTTCACTCTTTTTATACTAATGCAAATTGCTTCTTTTTTTAAAAAAAAAGCCAGCTGAGTGATGCAATTTTCAAGCTAGGTGAACGCAAAAGACATTTGAAACCACAAAGGAAAGAGCGGCGGAAGATTCCAGGACAAACTGTCTCTGATGGAGATGTTAAACTTCTCATCAGAATATTGAGAGCATATAATATACCTGCAAAAAAGGTGCCAGCAACTAAGTATGTGCAGAATTAATTGATTTAAAAAGTTTTATCTGTAGTCACCCCCACACTATGTGTAACATGCAAAAAAAAGTATAGTGATTTTACTGCCTAGTTCTGTGTGCTTCTGAAAAAGCATTTGTGTAAATATTTCCAGCTATTACAGTAGCTTGAAAGTCAGCAGATAAAAGGCAAAATAGGACAGATACTGTACGTTAATTAGACTAGGAGAAAATTAGTTTACAATAAAATGGTGGGAAAGTGAATTATTATTAATAGAACCTCTAGACATTCATGTCATCTCTTCAATGTAGTGTATGCTTTACTGCAGTGTCTAATCATCAGCACATTGTTAGCATTTTGTTCTATTTTTATCTGAAACTCAACTGTGTTGCAAAATACTATTCTAGCGTACAGATCCGTGCATGGACCTTGTAATATTGTACAACAGGGTTGAGTTGAATCAAACTGTCCTCCCTAATTAAGCATCTAATGTATTCTGAAACAAAGAAAAATAGCAATTTTCATGAGATAATGTTCCCTTAGGAATGCATGGCTTTTCAAAAAACATATTGTTATTTACGTAAGTTATTTGGATTACTAAACAGCATACTGTAGGTTACAAAAAGACAGAGTTTGCATTGAGAGAATCTAAATAATATTTAACAGCAATCATTGTCATAGGAAGCAGATCATAGAATAAACTTGCACAGTCCCACTGACCTGAATAGAACTGCACCATTTTCTTGATAATCTCTCTGAACAGATGCATTATTCATCATTTTGCCAAAGCAGTCAGACACAAAGCAGTCAGACACAAAGAAAACTATTAGCTACCCCTGCCAACGTATCTAGAACAAAGATATGAGATGCTTGATACGGATTATATAAAGGGCCACAACTTTATGGATCCATTAAATAATATCTGCAGCCAAATTAATCTTAATTTCACTTACCTGTTACACATGTGGGTGAAATCAAGAAGGTGCTGCTTTCTCCTATCAGTCTTAAATGAATCCTCCAAGACACTGTACCAAGGGGGCTTCTGGTGACATCCTCACTCCAAGGCAATGAACGTTTACCATAAACTAGGTAAGTGACTGCTCTTCTACATTTCTTCAAGTGCAATTAGTTGGGATTTTTAAAAAATCAAATCTGGTTTTTGCCTTGCTGATTAATGTTCTCCAGAATTCTACCTTGATAGTTTTCAGTCATAGTCCTATCTGTACATACTCAGGACTGACAACTAGTTTTCCTAGTTCCGCAACCTGAATAGAGCCAGAACTGACTCATGCAGTGGTGTAACTTAACTCTTCTGATTCCTTGTTAGTAACTTTCAACACACCTCCTTCAACTCAACTGCCCTGAACATTTTTGCCATTTCATGGCAATGGCCAAAGTTTTATGCCCTTGTTCTTATTTACTGATGAAGATGATCAAGTAGGAAACTCGTAGTAGGTGTCTGGAAGACTTTCCACTATTCCTCAAGTGGACCTTTTTGATTCTCATATCAGCTTCCCAGGAGATGTGAAGCAAGCTGGATGCTGCTGTCAAGTGCTTCCTCAGCTTTCCCACTGGGGTGTTAAGTGAAGAATGCAAATATAATTTACATGCTAATTTTGCTCATTTATCTTGTCTGCATCAGTAAGCTTGGTCCTATCTAGCTTCCTCATAGCCCTTTCCGATAATAGTGAATGTAGGAAGCTGTCTTTTACTATTTTATTCTCCCCTCCCTCTAGCTGAGTTTTGTCAAAGTTGATTAGAAGTAACTTTTCAGGATTTCAGGCATGATAATTTTCTAGCCCTATCTAGAGATGCTGTGGGCTGAAATTTTTGCATGGAAGGCTTGTGCTCTGCCACTGATCTAGAGCCCCTCCCAGATGGGAAGGGCTGGGAACAAACATCACAAATCATGTTGTGGGGAGTGGAGTAACTGTCATACTCTCACAAACTGGTGTCATGAGTATGCAGCAAGTTTTCCCAACTGTAGCTTATTCTTACTCCATATATTTATAGGTGAGAAAGTGGTTGAAATCCAGTAGTAGGTCACAACTAGAGCAGACCCATTGAATCAGTGGAAATTTGATGAGTAAACCCTTCTGTAATTTCCATTGATTTAGTATGCCTACTTTAATTGTGACTTACTACTGGATTTCAGGCAGGGGGGGATTTTGAGCACATGTATACCGTGTTTCCCTGAAAATAAGACAGGGTCTTATATTAATTTTTGTTCTAAAAATGCAGTAGGGCTTATTTTCTGGGGATGTTTTATTTTTTTTCATGTACAACAATCTACTGTATTTGCCAGTGTATAAGACGACTGGGTGTATAAGACGACCCCCCAACATTTCCACTCAAAATATAGAGTGGATGGCTCTGCTGTGGCGGCAGCTGCCCGGGGCTCTGCCTGGGCCCGCCCTGGAAGTTCAGCGGGCAGCAGCAGAGGAGGAGGAGGGGAAGTGGCTCTCTGGTGGCAGGCGGGCGAGTGGGCAGCTGGCTTAGCAGCGAGGAGGAGGGAGAGGAAGGGAAGCGGCTCTCTGGTAGTGGGCTCTGGCCGCTCAGGCATGGCTGGCTCTGCTTCCCTCCCTCTGTCTGGACCGACCGCCTGCCTGCACGCCTGCCTTCCATCCCGACCTGTGCGGCCCCGCGTCACTCACTCAGTGGCGGCAGGTCCTTCCTGACCCAACTGAAGTGCACCTGGTGTATAAGACGACCCCCCCATTTGGAGGCATGTTTTTGGGCCAAAAAAGTCATCTTATACGCCGGCAAATATGGTACATTTTTTCAAATACAGACATGTCATCTTCTGGTTGCTGCACAATGGTGGAGGGTGGGGTTTAACTCAACTGGGGGTTATTTTTGAGGTAGGACTTATATTACGAGCATCCTAGGGCTTATTTTCAGGTTAGGTCTTATTTTCAGGGAAATAGGGTTCTTTTCACTTACCATGAAGGATCTGATGCAACTTATATTTTCCTTGCATACTACAATTTAAAAACAATTTCTACAAAATTATGTACATATAAGCAAAATAGACAAGAAATGTTAGTGCATTTTTAGGAGAGAAACTAAGTACATGTTCTTTTTTTGTTTGTTTGTTTGTTTAATGTTTCAAGGCTTGCAGTCATGCATTCTGCATCTTATTTACCAGTTCGTATGTCTCGAGGAAGACATATTTTCTCAGGAAACCTAAGTTATACAGCGGATCTTCTAAATGAGGTAATTTTGATATGACCATTTTCAGCTGAATAATTCATGACAATATGTTGTATAGACATAACAAAATAAAGGTAACAAAAGAATAGTACATTTGTATACTGTTTCACTTGAAGTTTACTTTGATTAAGCAAGTCATATTTTAAAATCAGTTATATTCTTTGCTTCAGATTCTTGGCTATGTGCATGCTATTGGTAGATTTTGATGTTTGTCATAGGAAAGGGAGTGGTTTGTGCCAGAGTCAGCACTTACATTGTTCAGTGCATGAGGTGTGAAAGTCATCCTGATAGCCTTAAAAACAAATTGTCTGTAATCACAATTCTGAGACTGAGGGTGTAACTATACAGTGGGGAAAACATGCTTGGATCTGACGTAAACTGCAGTTTTTCAAATCAGATTTAGAATTGTTGTAGCTGTCCCAATGACAAACAATTTATGGGAGTTGGCAGAGAGAGTTGTGTTTGTACAGAGCTCCAAAAGCAGAAGCTCCCTTTGACAAAGCTAATTGGCAAATTTACAAGGTGCTAATTGGGAACTTTCATCTCTTCATTATTTTTTTCCCCAAAGTGACCTAGTGATACTCTGTTCCAGCTCACTTGAAAGCCCTTTTAAAATAAATAAATAAATACTATTTGGAGACAAGGAACACTCAATTGATGGGAACTGATACCTCAATGAGTGCCCTTTTGCCTTCAAATAAGGTGATCACGTATAATAGAAAGCAGAGAAAAGCAAGGCCAGCCAGTTGGAGAAAGTTTAAACTACCCCTGTTGGCTAAACAATAAAAGATGGTTTCCTGCTGAAAAGGATGATTCCAAAATGGACTTCCCTGCACTAAGCTTTATATTGTATAATTGCTGGGCTTTAATTCAAATTCATTTGTTCTGAATCCGGTACAAATTGTGGGCTAAATGGCCAATGTGCTTGCCTCTGAGTTGAATTGCAAACATAATGGCCAGAGAATTTGGCCTAACTTTGGGATTTCACAGTTTTTTCCCTCAATGTTCTGCTTTTTTTTTTCTTTTTTGTACTGCCTAGTCTGGTGGAGAGTTCTTGGGATCTGCATATGTTCAAAGCAATTTCTTTGTTCTGATAAAAACATTGGCCAACTGGATTAAAAAAACATTGCTTTCCCTGATGAGCTTGTTTGTATGTGTAAGATTTTATCTTTCACTATCATGGGAAAAATCCAACTTGTATTGAGTTGTGGAGGTGTTTTCTGGCCACATAATAATTCTAACCACATAGCATGATGTATTGAGGATTAGCAGTAGGGTTAGAGTTAGGGTGAGCTTGTTTTGTGTTTTCTGATCTTAGTGACGATTCTACTATTTCATCTTAATGGGTTTGCTTTAGGTTGTTGTCCATCCTTTTGTAGAAGTTACTTTTCAAAACACTGTTTATCAGACTACCACTGCAGATGGTTCTCATCCGTGCTGGAATGAAGAACTTCAAGTTGACTTTATGTAAGTTATCAATATCCTGTTTTCAATTAAAGTGAAGAACAGATTCATCAATGAAGATTCTAGGTTTTCTATAGCTATTTGTTTCTTACATTTCAATCTATTTAATTTTTGTAGGACTTTATTATTTATTTATTTTCAGACTACCACTGCAGATGGTTCTCATCCGTGCTGGAATGAAGAACTTCAAGTTGACTTTATGTAAGTTATCAATATCCTGTTTTCAATTAAAGTGAAGAACAGAACCATCAATGAAGATTCTAGGTTTTCTATAGCTATTTGTCCTTAAAAAGACCCAGTTATCAATTGAACCCGTTTCATGTACAGAATTGGATAGCCTAAAATAGACTCTTATTCCTAGTGGTTACAGAAATAAATTATATTATTATTATCATAGAGAGTACTTTGCATAAAAACTGAAGACATTTAAGGTTATGAATAAATGCATTGAACCTAGTGAGATTTAAACTTGAAAGTAACTTCTTAATTCTTTTTTCACATCAGCACAAAGTTAGTAATGTATTGCTTTTAAATGGCTTGTTTCAGAGCTAACAATTAAATTAACAAATACAGAGTTTAACAAATAAGATATTCCATTCCCATCACTATTAACAACAACAATAAATTCCCAAATTTCTAGTGCTTAAAATGTGCTTATTTTTCAACCTAAGGTTCAAACTCTGATAAGGCTCAAGTCTGAATGGACATGCACCATATTGCACTGTAGATATTGAGACTGAAGAGTTTCTAGTTTTGGAAATTTAGGCTTGGATCCAGAAATTCATTTTCTGGGTAGAAGTTTTCTTTCCAATGGATGGGCAGGGATTCACAGGTTCTACTGACTGCAGGCTCTCAAGAGTTGCTTGAGAAGAAAACACAGGAAAGTGGTATTCATCTGTATGTAAAGGTAAAGGTTCCCCTTGACATTTAGTCCAGTCATGTCTGACTCTAGGGTGCGGTGCTCATCCCTGTTTCCAAGCTGTAGAGCAGACCTGGGCAAAGTGCGGCCTGAGGGCCACATACGGCCTGTAAGCCACTCCTGTCTGACTTGCAGACAGTTTTGAACATCAAAACCATTTATAGCTTTTTGTCTAAAGTTGATCAGTTGCTTATCTTTAATATACCACAAAAAAACTCTTTAGTATTTGTGAAGATTAACAAGTTCAAAATAAAAACAATCATATCACTCTTTCATTTTATTTTTAAGTAATGTTGTTTCGGCCACCAAACACAGTTAAGATTTTCATGTGGCCCCCCTATAGAAATTAATTGCCCACCTCTGTCATAGAGTCAGCATTTTGTCCATAGACAGTTTCCGTGGTCACTTCCATGGCCAGCGCAACTAGACATGGAACGCCGTTACCTTCCCACCATGGTGGTACCTATTTATCTACTCGCATTTGCATGCTTTCGAATTGCTATGTATGTAAGTAAGCAGACCTTTAAAACCACTTTCCAGTGGAATACGAGTGATTGCAGAATAAAGACTCATCTTTATTCCAAGATGGCGTACCGGTAAACTGGTCGGGAGCATTCTCTCCCAGCTTTGGTCTGTTTTTTTTTCTTTTCTTTTTATTTTATTTTCCTCTCTCCTTTGTTTTATTTGTTTTTACCTCTCACTGTGCTCTCCCCTCACCTGGAAAACATCTTACTGACCTGGGAATTGATTTCATGGTGGAGCGAGGCTAAGAGAGGGAACGCTTGAAGTGACTGATGCGGCGAGGTGAGGCTTCTGAAGCTCGTTTGCACTGGGGGCAGGAAGACTGGGGTTTGCCTGGAGTTCGCCTAGAGCCTGGAGCCGGCATCGGGAGGTTGCGGTAACCCTTGTATCGGCGTTTATAAGGACTGAACTCGTAAGGCTTCTCCTGCTGAGTTATAACCCCGAGCCCTGTAAGCCCGAAAACGCGAGGGTGCTTAGAAGATCTGGCTACCCTTGGGCATCTGGGTGAGAGATGGTGCTCTCGGTGTTTAAAAGAACTGAGCTTGCAGCACTTTCCCTGGTGAGTTACCACTCTGAGCCCTGCTAGCCTGAAAACGTGAGGGTGCTTGGAAGAACTGGCTGCCCTTGCCCGTCCAGGCGAGACGATTAGACTGCTATTAAGCCTGAGACATGGGGGTGGAACTGGGCTGGCTGACGGGGCTCGGAGAAACACCCTCTGGTTTGTGGGGCAGCGGCAGGAGGCTACTGAGACAACTGAAAACTTCGGGGTGTTTGGAGATCTCGTGGAGTAGGTCGTTATACCCGGGGCTCCATCAGGGAGAGAGGCAAGAACCTCCCTGTGGGAACTGGAGAATCGCCCGAAATGAAGAATCTGCTGTTCGTGGGTCTCTGCTGGCTGCTTTGGCGAGTCGCCATGCTGGGACTAGGAAAAACTGGAACACTTCTGCGAGTTTTAACCTCGGCGCTACAACGATTCCCTCTCTTTCCTGTTGAAAGCTTTGTAACACGCCAGTATCATAAGAGCCGTACCCTCATCTTGCCAACTTTAACAACTTTAGCAATTGTAATAACTTTTATTGCAAAAACACCAGTTCGGACTAAGGTCCAGATAAGAGTGAGGCGGAACAGTATCACATGAGGGGTAATTTAATACAATTTAATTTAATTTGATTTGATTTATGTTTTTTGTTAGATATTAATGTTTATTATAAATGTTTATTTGTTATTAACGTTTATTCTTAGTTATTATTTGTTAAACTGTTTTGCTTAACATTTTATAGTGTATTTTGCTAATTTTTTTCTCCCCCCCCTTTTTTTTCTCTTCTACACTTTGTTTTCTATTTTCTTGCTTGAGATGGAGAGGAGGGCCTGCCTTCCCAGCGAGGGGTCTAATATTAGGGTGATTATGGGTAGAGGGAGATATGGCGGTGGTACAGTGCCTACTCATGTCAGGAGAACAGAGAACAGATATTTGAAGGCTGTTCACTGTTCAGACACTGCTGCTAACTGCCAAAATCGAGGTAGATAGCCCAGCTGGTCCTCTACTCTGAACCTGGTGCTGTTGAATGCCAGGTCTGTATCCAACAAATCCCAGCTTATCCAAGACCTTATTCTGGAGGAGGATGCAGACCTGGTGTGCAGAACTGAGACCTGGATGGGTGGGGAAGGAGGGGGTCTTCTAACCCTCTCCTGCCCTCCAGGTTATGCAGTCCAGCACCAGGGCAGACTGGAGGGGTGGGGGGGGAGTAGCCATTGTTTATAAAAAATCTTTAGACGTTACAAAGCGCTCCTCGGTTGTGAAGCCAGGTTTGAAGGCCCTTCATGTGCAAATTGGGGCCAGGGATGGTATTGGGATCTTGCTGGGTTACCACGCTCCCCGCGATCCAGCCACCTCCCTACCGGAGCTGGCGGACTTCGTCTCCGCAGCACTGTTGGAGTCCCCGAGACTGCTGGTCCTGGGTGACTTCAACATCCATGGGAGGCGGAGGTATTTGGTCCAGCTCTTGAGTTCTTGGAAACCATGGCTTCCGTGAACTTGTCCCACCATGTTAACGGTCCCACACACATGGGCGGCCATATGCTTGACCTGGTATTCTCCACTGAGTGTAGTGAGCGTGGTCTGATGGTGACTGACCTCGTGTCAGTCCCCTTGTCATGGTCAGACCATCACATAAAATGTAACCTCACAATGGAGCTCCCTCCCTGCATGGAGCAGGGACCCATTTTAATGGTCCGCCCTCGAAGGTTACTGGATCCTATGAGATTCCAGGATACCATGAGAGGGATTCCAGCGGCACTGTCTGGAGCTCCTGTCGAAGCTCTGGTGGACGGCTGGTTCTCCGCCGCTGCTAGGGCTGTTGACACGATCACACCCAAACGTCCTCTCAGGAGCAGAGCTTGGCCAGGGCCCTAGTATACCCAGGATCTACGAGCAATGAAGCGAATAAGGAGACAGCTAGAGTGTGTGTGGAGAAGGAAACCAACGGATTACAATAAAATTGCTGTCAGGATCGCAACTAACCATTACCTGGCTAAGGTAAAGGCTGCTAGAAGATCTTACATCGCTGATCGGATAAGCGATGCTTCTAATCAGCAGGCGGAACTCTTCCGTATAGTTCGCGATCTATCCGGAATTGGTCTGGGTGAAGGGCCTCCCGCTAGCATCTCACCTGACCAATTTGCAGCGTTTTTTAAATCTAAAATGGAGGCCATCCGCCATGATCTTTCTCCTTTTTTAAATACAATGGATCAAGCTGAGATGTCCAGCGCTCCGCCTTACCTGGTAATTCTCGATTCCTTTCAGCCTGTGACACCAGATTTGGTGGACAAGGTGCTTGATCGCTGTCGGGCCTCCACCTCTTCTCTCGACCCTTGCCCGGCCTGGCTAATCAAAGCAGCCAGACCTGTAACAACAGAATGGGCCATTGCAATAATTAATGGGTCTCTCAAGGAGACACTCATTAGGCCCATTAGGAAGAAACCAAATTTGGCGACGGATGACATTGGAAATTATAGGCCCGTCGCCAATGTTTCCTCAGCAAGGTGGTTGAGGGTGGTGGCAGATCAGCTCCAGGCACTTTTGGACGAAACCAATGCACTGGACCCATTCCAGTCGGGCTTCAGGCCGCGCTATGCTACTGAAACGGCACTGGTCGCACTGATGGATGACCTGCTGAGGGAGGCCGATGGGGGCAATATCTCCTTGTTGGTCCTCCTTGACATCTCAGCGGCCTTTGATACCATTGACCACGGTATCCTCCTGGGGAGGCTCTCTGAGTTAGGAATAGATGGCCTAGCGCTTGCTTGGCTCCGTTCCTTCTTTGAGGACCGGCCCCAGCGAGTACAGCTTGGAGAGAGGGACTCGAACCCGTGGGGGCTCAATTGTGGG